GCTCGTTGATCTCCCCTGCATTTGATAGTGACTTCCATACATTATACAGTATCATTGCTACTTGCTACAGACAACTAAACAAAGCTTTCCTCAAGGACTAGTTCATAGACTCATAACACATGCTTTTACTTGAATGGATAAACAGATATGGACATGTTGATGACCCTCATATACATTTTCACACAGCTGTCTGTCCAATTCATACCTCATTCCCTTTCCATTTGCCTCCATGACCTCGAGACCTGGCTTTCATCCAACTCTTCGATTCAACAGTGACAAAATGGAGCTTATATCACCCGCCTGTCACTATCAGTTCTGTGTCACCTTGGACTTGAACCTGTCATTTAAACCGCAACAAATCAGCATTCCTTTCATACAGTGGATTTGTCTTTGTCCCAAAATATATCTTGGGATTTTGTCACCAGAAAATGCATAATTACTATTCTAAATACAGATGATTAGACTGTGAACTTTGGTGATCTTAGTGATTCTTTCTTGGAGTGTATATGCAACGTGTTTCTATTGTTGGCAGTATCATATAGTGTGGAGGTGGCACTCACTGAATAAACATGTATTTACAATGTGCTTTCTTGACAAGGAGGAGTAAAGGTTACGTCACCCGTGTGTGTGCGTGTATGTGTGTGTGTGTGTGTGTGTATATGTGTGTGTGTGGGCAGGTGTGTGCACATGGATGCTGACAGCAGCTCTCCCAGCAGGTGGCCCCTTCTGTGTATCTGAATATCCAAAAAGCTGATGGTTCTGTCAGTGATCACAACCAACCGAGTGTGAGAAAAGGACGGAAAAATACCCTGCAAAACAACAAACATTAGTTTCACAACTGAACTGTTTTCAAAGACTTGTTTTAAAAACCAAGGAATCATCACGCTGTTTGGTGGCACAGCGCTCAGGTAAATAATTCATTTATTATTGTGCTTATATGCAGTAACTTATAAATATACAGTAGTGTACAGTCTGGCCCCCTGCTGTGAGAAGAATGAGGGGCTGGATTCAGCTTGGCAGGATCGTGTGCTCGTGCATATGGTGTCGTCTTTGAGGGACAGATTGAGGAAGCTACTGGAAGATGAATGAGAACTTTGGTTTTGAAGGTAGTGATTTTACAGAGGTACTTGGCATGCCTTAAATCACTGCATACATATAATTTACGGGTATAAATTGTATGTTGATGTAACATGTTGCTATACATACAATCAGAAATGCATGTGATGTTCTCAATGCTGTTGAAAGTAATCCAACCTAGATTTTATTAAACAAATGTATTCCTCCTATGAATTTGTACCAACTGATTTTTATTGTTTTCAATATTCTCAATACAATGTATACTTTAATGCAAATTTGTATTCCATTTTAACCAAATGCATGAGGCTGCTTCCCAAGTCAAAGGTCCCAACACTCTTTCTTTGCAGTTAAGCACAAATAACAGGTTAAGCATGTGTACAGTTTCATGCTGCAAGCCCAAGTCTGTCATTAAATGTTCAAAGACTAGAACAGAAAGAACCATGCTTTCCCTTTCAAAACAAAATGTGTATAACTAGTATTTAGGGATGAATTTACCCCCATAGTGTTTGTAAACAACTTTGCCTGCCCCTTTGTATGATCTATTTGGCTCTCTATCTATACTGTATCTATCTTTCAGTATCTATAGGTATACATTTGTGTGACTTTATACCTATAGATATAGATACAATTGTTCTGTAATTGCTCACACTTATGTACAAGTGTGAGAAGTTTGCAAATAATGTTCTTACTGCTGACTGAGAACTAGCTCAACCTTGAAAGTTCAGCCTGCTGACTCTAAACCAACACATAACTGCAACCGTTTATGTACCTGCAATAATGGACTATTCAGTGGTTAACGTTACCCACTGTATGTTTTGTATGCTTACATTGACCTCAAATAGGTTATTTTAATTACGTGGGTTAATCGGTGTGAGGACTTTTATAGGATCTACAAATAGTAAAAAATCTCTGTTAAACCAAAGGATGGCAAGGTTATATGGCCTTTGGCATATGCTACTTATTGGAACACAAATTAGTCACGCAGTATTACAAATTAGGCCTGAAATGGCCGTGCATAGTCAAATTAGAACTGCACTAAAGATAGCTGGGGGATGTCTTCATTTAGTACACTGTATAGAATTATGCTAAAATAATGATTCCATGCAAACACTGTCATGCTAATGCCTCTCTAAAGTATTAATACAGCTTGGACTTTTGCACATTTTGTCATGTTTAAAACCATTAACAAACATTTTATTTAGATTTTTTTTATTGAATGTTCACACACTGTGAAGTGAAAGCAAAATAATACATGATTCTGTTTTTGTCCAAAATATAGAAAATCAAAAAGTTGGGCATGCACAAGAGTCAATACATTGTGGAAACCCCTTTTTCCTGCAATGACAGCAGCAAGTCTTTTAAGGTGTGACTCTACAAGATCTACACATATGACATAGCCCATTCCTGGACTTTGACGGGGCCATTCTAACACATGAATATGTTGTTTTAAACCGTAACCCTAACCACCACATTTAACACTGGGGTTGGTGCAGTGAGCAGGATTAGGTTTGCGCCATACATAACGTTATGCATTAAAGTTCAATTTTTGACTCATCTGACAAAAGCACCTTCTTCCACATGGCCGCTGTGTCCCCATATGACTTCAAGCCAACTTCAAACAGGCTTTCCTATGGCTCCTTTCGATAATACCAGATAGTCATGATAGTTGACTGATAGTTTTCCCATGTACAGATTCCATCAGCTCAGTGGCTGTACTTTGCTGCTCTTTCAGAGTCATCCTGATTGCTCTGTCTTAGTAAGTTGGTGAGCTAGTGTAGCCATCTTTTATAATGTAACTACACACTGTCTTTCAATAAACACATTTATCATTGTTCACAGTGACGCCTTACTCTTTCCATTTCCAAATATTGAATTGAACAGTGCAACGTAAGGTGTTCAAATCTTGGGAAATCTTGATATAACTTAACATCACTTAGAATAGGGGTTTGAAGATAAAGGCTCACCTCAATGTTCATCATAAATTATGTATACCTCATAATAAGACAAAAGAAATACCCACAAGAGCAAACTGTCTGTAGCAGCATGTTCTCCTTCCATATGTCCTCCTGTTGTGTCCGGACTTATAGTCTAAACACATGGCGATCGGGTGAACTGAAGTCTTTATATGGCCCTCTGGTCCAATCGACAGTGAGGATGTTTCCCCAGCCTCTCATCTGTTAGTTCTGTGGCGCCCTTGAACAGACAAATGTGTTTGAATTACAAATGATCATTTATGATAAAGTACATGGACAAACTCATAGTACAGTGTCCTAGAATGTGTAATGACTGAATACCTCCTGCTCCTCTGGCCGGTGGGTAGATCATGTAGGATCATTATTAATCATCTGTTTTAAACACTGCTGTGGAGAAGCTTTATCGGTAACTTTGATATCCATGTCATAGTGATAAATCAACAATGTTAAAAGTTCATGAGAAAAAACGTCTTGTTTTGTGTCACTGCAGTTGTCAGTCAACCGCACACCAGGCATCAAAGCGATGAGTGGACCTTAGGCCCCTTCTGTGCCCCTGTCCTGAGCCAGGGACCCCTCCTGACCCCAGCTGCCTTCAGCTTTGTGAATGAACCATGTGCATGCTTCAGCTTCTTACATGGTTATATTGAACTGCCCCACACACATCTTTTGTATACCCTCTCAGGAGTTAATCCTGTTTTCTGTAGCTCACCCTAAGATTGGTCCGTTTCACTATATTCCTATTTTGTTTTCTTCTGAAGAGTGGAAGAAATTTCCTCTTACTTGTTTTTGAGAGAAAAATAAAACCAAATACAAATACATGTTTGTGTTTAGTAAATGTACACAAAGAGGTATAGGTTTTTAGTTGTTCTATTTCCATGTCTTTTTGTATATTTTGCCTGTGTGAATGCATTCATTATTTTAATCACTTATTTCCCAAAAATGGCTGAGCCTTTAGAAAACTTCCACACAATCAGATTGCTTTTATAGTAGCTGGAGGTAAGGATAGTCCTGTGTGCAGCCATCACAGATGTGAGTCAGCCTCAGGCCCAAACGCAGCCGCCCAGAGCACTTCCTGGTTCCCCACACCTCACATCCTTCTGTCTCTCTGCACTCTCTTCCTTCCTGTCACTTCTCCTTCTCGCTACATTTTCATTTGCAATTCACAGCAAAGTCTGTTGTAAATGTACTTACTATACACAACATTATGGTAAACAGCTCTTAATGATGCCCCCAATGTTTGTTTTATGTTTAATTAGAAACAGAGGATAACTCAAATCTTTAGTCTCAAGATCAGAGTGGTTTTGCCACAAGCACATCTTTAAATGCTGGCTATGCAAATTATTTGTTTACGAAGATTGTCGATGGGATACAAGAGTGTATTGACTCATTTCTTATTAGTTTAAAACCGTATTGGAAATCAAGATGTAAGATCAAGATGTAAACGATCCCAGAGACTGTGGAGTTCAGTTAGAGGCCACATTCAATAACCGTCTCTTTTTCTTCTTTTACTAATATAACCCGCTTTTGACTTTTAGATGGATCAAAACTTCAAACGGTCCATTGTAAGGGACACAAAACAACTGGGATTTTTAACAGCGTGAACGCCTTGTGTTCTTTTCTGTGTCAGTGACATTCTTTCCTTAGCATGTCCCTCAATCCTCCACTTCTCCTCCCTCTCTGCTCTCCCCTGCGCCTCTGTGTCTTTTCCAGTGTGTCGTTCAGTGCCAGGTCGTGGTGGCTGGTGGTTCCCCCTCTCCAGATGGCCCACTCTGATCATTTATTGATGACACGAGAACAGAGGATGGTCTTCCCAGCTGCTGCAGCCTGGCACCGGGCTCATTATGCACATGCACACAACAGTCCACAGGCACAATGACTCACAAAACCTAGACTTACATGTACGGACAAGTTGACATGTATTTTATTTGTATTTATTTCTTTTTTGCCTTGTCATACGTTGAGTTGCTTGCCGGGCATAATGCTTGTTGGTGTACTGAAATTCTGCGCCCCGCACCTCTCCTTCCTGCCTCCAGCACTCTCTCGTTCACCTCCTGCTGGGGTGTTACTGACTCCGTCGCACAGGAACAGACAGACGGAGAGGCTGGGGAGAGGGGGAGTGATGTGAGAGTAATGGCTTTCAGACGCTCCAACCGCTGAATGTGCCGCAGATCACATGTAGGACAGGGGAAATTATAGGGAAAATAAACTCAACATTAAAGGGAAACATGAAAGGGATAGAGCAGAAATTAGTTAAAACTACTCTGAGTGTGTGAAGGCAGCTGGAGGTGGAACATCTGGACATAGGTAGCTGGTCTTTAAAGTGGGCCTCTACACAATTGATTCTCTGGTGTATGCTGCATGTTTCATATTAACAAGTTGTATACAGTAACATATGTGCTTCTAATCAAGACAACACCCAGATGGGCATGGTTGTTTGTGACCACTGTAACTCATCTTGTCACACATTCAAACACGCTGCGTGGATAGAGTGTGCATTCTTAGCTCAAATCATGGAGACAAATACTTTGTTATGTGTTATAAGGTTCAACTAACATTGGAACTGTGCAGTCGAGACTCTTGAGCCAGAGAGGCTCCACCGTAATCCAGTTGAGAATCCAAACTCAGGGACACCACATCCTTAAAGAAACAGCTCAGACACTGTGGGAAGGTGAGAAGTATTTTATGTATGTCCAGGTTTTGTTACACAAACTCCAACATAAACACATGTGTCCTTCCTTTGACTGTGTCAGAAATAGCCTGAACTGAGCTGGCTGCGACTTTGAAGTTACACTAGGGAGACTGCTGTGATATACAGCTGGCTTTGGCGAGAGCACCCCCAGAGATTCATGAAAACACACACATCTGAATATATTCCTTCATACATCACACACACAGACCTCTCCATTACCCCTGAGGTGCTGTTAATGCTAACACACATCGTTACACACCACAAGGGTCATCTCATCTCCGGAGCCCAACAGGAACATGCAGACAAGGCCTTTCTGCTTTTGTACAAAAGAATAGAGAAATCACAAGAGAAACATGACTACATTTAAAAATAGACCACACTGTTCAAAGAGTCCATAATTTGACATCAGAATGATTGATTCAAGTCCTCACCAGAATCTTTTTTCAGATTGATCTAACAAAGTAGAAAATCGTCTGTAAAACATCTGTTAACAACATTTATATACATACGTCACAAAATTGCATTGTATTGTTTGCTTTCAACAAGTGATGACAAATATGCAGCTACACACTATTAGCTGCTGAGGCTTGTTCATCAAGAGCATGCAAATGCCTCTAGGTGGCAGCGTACTCATTTGTGAAGCTCCAGAGCCGGTTACGTCACAGTCTGCGCCAGTAAACAGAGAGAGAATGTGTTTTATTAGTGACCATAATTCCTAATACAATAAAAACAGGTTAGGACAATATATTCTTTATGAAACAAATAAGAATAATAACAAATCATAGTGCAGGCAATATTGCTGGATTTACAGTAGATCTATAATTAATATTTATAACTACAAGCCACACTGACTAAATCTAATAATAAAACCGTACAGATGAAAAACACACTGAAGCATACATAAAAACAGACAGATTGCTGCCTCTTCCCCTTGCATCTTTTATTTTGACCATCCTAGTTGAAAATGCTCTGGATCTAGCTTATGTCCTGGCACATAATGAATACATTGGAATTGATATAAAGCCATGAAATTATATTCATACATATACTATTTATTTTAAGTTATGAAACAAGTTTAATGTTGCCATGAAGCTTGCAGGCATACATTTGAATCTTCAATGGTGAATACAAAATGAAAATACAATTTGGAATGGGATGAGATGACATTTGTTTATCCCACATGGGAATAATTTAACTGAGGAACTATACCATTTTTTTTGTATTGTATTGACTGCACATAGTTTTAACAGTAGTCTAGAAAAGCCCAACCTAGGATGGGATTGTAATGAGTTGCACCACATCATCTGCAATTTTAATGTTATATCTGTCTGACTGCATTGTCCCTGTCCGATAAATACACACAAATAACTGTAGTAGTAGTTGTTGTTATAGTTGTGTACTTGCATCTCTTTTAGCCCATCCTACAAATAGAAAAGCAATTTCAACACTACAACACTTTTCTAGAACATTTACTTCTGCTGTTGTGCAGATCCAGTAAACAGGTACAATGCCTTGTTAAAACAGCAAGACAAAAAAAGAAAAAAAACTAAACGAGAGTTGCGTTGCTGAGCTCAGGAAACATCTGCAGGGCTGGGGAAGAGGTTACAGAGGCTGAGGACAGGCTGACAGCTCCAGTCCATCCATGTTTCTGCTTGTGTGTGTGTCTATATGTGTGTATGTGTGTGTGTGTGTGTGTGTGTGCGAGCAGGTTGACAGCCACAGAATCCTGCTGCGGTTTAATCCCTGCCCGGGTCATGGGGGGTCATCCGCTGGGGCACACATGTAAGGCAGGCTTTGTCTTTGTCAGTATGCATGCACTCACAGTCATGCATAGGTATGTTCTTAAGACCAGCAAAAGGCAGCAGCGCACCGGGCAGCACAGAGGCCCTACTGTATGTCCAAAGCCAACTGTACATTCCTGAGAGTCCCACCGGACGCAGTGCTGCTGCCGAACACCACATCTGGAGCCTTCAAACTCAGCCATGTGGTCAGAGCTGTTACTTTTGGAGGCGTTTGCATGAACTTGCTAAAGCCATACAAGGTGAGATCATGCATATGTTAAGGCAAAAACTTTTTCCCCATGAAAATCCTCTTTCTTGGATTGTGTTATTTCATCACTTCATCTGTCAGGTTAGTATGAGCTACAAATTAGGCTTGATATATGAAAGAAAAAACTGGAAGTCTCATGGATGCGTTTAGCCAAGGTTCCTCTTTTTATATCAGTTTAATAATGTATTGGCAACACTTAAATCAGACGCTTGAATAAGGCTTTAATTAGAAATGTAGTTTGAAACCGTGATTTTAGATGTCTCTGAACTTAAACACTTCATCTTTCTCATTATCTATCAAAGGAAAACTATTATAGGCTTAAAAAGTATTTACAATTACAATCAAACTTTTGTTGCCAGAATCTTCCTGTCTGCCACATGTAGCTCCAAGGCACGGATTACTGATGCAATCCACCTGCTGGGGTTTAGCTGGAAACAGTTCAAACTCTGAGGATAACATACGACTAAGCTTATTTTGTACCTGCTTACATTAAAGCATATGTTCCGTGCTATTTTTGTGAATGTTGTTAGTAAAAAAAACATAACTAAAATGTTTAAAACCAGGTTAAAACAGTTCTGTTTTCTTATCTTTCTTTTGAATGTACTGTGATTATTTATGATTTTAATGCTATCTTGTTTTGTTCAGCACCTTGAGTTGCCTTGTGTATGAATTGTGCAATACAAATAAACTTGCCTTGCCTTGCCTTGCCTTGCCTTAAAACCAACAACATTTCAGCAAACAAACTGACAACCCAAATTAGAGGCGACCCTCATTCTGCTCTCTGATTGGATAATCTGCTTGATAATCGTAAACATAAATATTTTGTTTTTTACGTATTGCACGCCATGTTTATTGTATTTCTAATCAAGAATAACTCCACATTAAACTTTAGCTCAAAAAAGGTCAAATGTGACGTTGACCTATTGTCTGAGGACATTTACGAAAAGTGAAAATATTCCATACCGTCCATAAGGCATTTTTTGGTTTTAACTAGAATTGTGTTGCTTCCAATTACACCATTTTTGCACAATAACCACAACATAGGTTTTATCGAGAAAAGTTCTGCTATTTAGTATTCGTATTTCTAACACACAATTACCACAGGAAAATCATCTCGAAACACTTTTCAAACACCCAGCCAGGCGTATCCTCCACGCTACTGCTAATGATAAAACAGTTGCATTGCTTTTATTATGTGTTGGTGGATTTACGTTGTCTGCCACTCCGCCTCAATTAAATCAACGCAGTTTGTGCTCCATAGTTCGCCTCAATGTACAGTATAGTTATGTTATATTGGCCCTTTCATGCCACCACCAACTCATACAAAACACTTTATAAAGGTATATGCTTAAGTTTAGTGCTCTCTATGCTCAGCTGTGACTACTTAGAGACAATAAAGCAGCGGGGGCTTAATGATTCAGAGGAAAAAGAGGAGAACACGAGGTAAAGTGGTCTTAACTTCTTTGGGAACGGCTGCAATCAAGAGCACATTTTCCAAGACTTCATTAGAAATGTCTTTTCACAAAAGGCCTATTATATAGCACACAACCCTGATTAGAGCCAATATGAACGGAATATAATTTGCATGAAAAGTTGAGAAAAAAATGTTTAAGTGAAGGAGGAGTAGTGTGGACCCCATTTAAAAAAACACCTTTTTCTAATTGACATGTAGTTAAAACAAACTGTTTGCATGATCTGCGTTTTAGTTCAAATTCAGATTCATTATGTTCGCCATTTGCAGTAAAATCCCATTGGAATACATACACGAGACAGTCGCATATGTAAAACAAGATTAAAAATACAGCAATAAAACAAACACAAATGACGCTGTAAAAATGATCAACAAAAACAAGTTTCAATACAAGTGCAAGATCATTAAAGTGCTCTAAAGTTGTTAAAGTTGTTGTTGATGATGGTAAAAATCAAGAAGGTCCTGTGAAAATCCTAATCTGTTTGAAGTCCCTTAAATGTTGTAATGATAAGGATAATCTTAATCTTAATGGGAAGGCGTTTTTTTTGGCCTTCTCTTCTTTTGAGCTTTCTTTCTTGAAATTATATGTACTGAAACTGTGTACTAAAACATGTTCTAAAACTGCTCAAATAAACTACTACTACTACTTCTACTACTACTATTACTATTACTACGACTACTACTACTACTACTACCAACATTTTAGTTCGAATACAAATAAGTGGTGAATCTCAGTCTGGTTTGAATGAGTAATATTTGAATATAATGGCTCTTTTTCTAAATATATAATTCCGCACCGGACAATGCACACATTTTTTTGAGAAGGTTTGTGTTTCTTACAACTCAAGTCACTACATCTCAGTGTCTCTGAAGATGAATGGTATCGTATATTTTAATTATCCTGTGTTTGTCCTGGTAGCCCCCAAAGGACCTAACGACTGACAATAAAGCTGATGTTATTATGCTGTTCAACGCTAGCATCTCCTATTGAATTATCTGCTTTCCCCCCGATTTGTTTTCCAATTATTTTAGAAATAATAAGTAACATAAAAATAAGGGGATGTTTTTTTCTTTAAAATTAAGCATGTAATGGTGAATACTCTTGAATAACGATTATAATGTTCTAGTTATTATTTGAATAATGGTAACACTACATGGTTATATTTATTTGTTTTGTTTGTACGGTTGGATGTGTTTCTGCTGCTACTGAACACCTGAATTTCTCCTATGGGGGATCAATAATAATAATAATAAATTAACTATCTATCTATCTATACATACATCTATCTATCTAGCTACCTATTATAGTGGTTTCCCTATACAACTGAAACCATGACAAAAAAATCCACAATATGCAGTTATGTAGCTATTTACGAGTACGAGTAAAAAAAAACCTGAAAAGTGGAGTTATATAATTCATCCCCGCACTCTGACTGACACGCAGCATTTGCCTCTTTGCATCTGTCGCCTTACATAGCTCAGAAACAAGAGAGCAGACCTCAATTTTCCACACTAAACAGCTGTACAGTAAAGCACGTCCTCTTGACCATGCGAGAGGCTGCCATACCCATACCAGTCAACAGGTGGTGCTCTTCCCTGCTGGATGGGCTGCAGACAGCTCACACGTTGACCTAGTGTGAGGTCTCTTTGCTCTGCACTTTGCTAATATGATTTTAAGCTGGAGCTCAGTGGCAGACAGGTGGCCTATACTGCCTTCTCATGCCACACATACATGTCATGGTCAGTTATCGCCCACATTTCCATACGTTTGTTTACTG